CCCCGGGGCCCCCGCCCCCGCCGGGGGGGGGGGCCGGCAGCTCCTGCGGCAGCTCCGCGTCGACTGGCCCTCCGACTCCGGTGGGTCAGCCCTCCCGGACGCCGTCTCGGCCTTGAGGCGAGCGCTGGGCCTGTCCCCCTGTGCCGCAGCCTGCGAGCAGGGGCCGGGCGCGGCCGCGCTGCCTGAGGACATCATCTGTAAAGTGCACTTGAAGAGCTTCGTGGAGCAGCAGGGCTTGGTGGGCTATGACCCCAACCTAGACGTCCTCCTCGGTGAGCCCCACGTGTACAGCTGCTCTAATGTGACGGCAGGGGGGGCGAATGGCTGCAAACAGGCCTGTTTCCTTTTTTTCCCAATTGTTTTTACAGAAAATAAGGGGGGTTTAGATCCAAATTGCCTCCTCTTATTCCCCTTCAGTCCGGTTTGAGCCAGAAACGCAGACAGCCTAGGGCAGAGCGATGGTGCAGGGTGGCGGGGGGGTGGCAAACCCTCGTGTCCCGCTCTGAGCGTCCTTCCTTCTTTCAGTGACGGAGGGGAAGCTGCGGTCCCTGGCTGAGCTGCAGCAAGCCGTTCTGCAGTGCGCGGTGCGTAACCCTGCAGCGCTGCCTGCCTCTCGCTTTCCAGATGTTGTTCCCTTCTGTCATGCGGTAGCATTTGAGCTCCCTGCTGTGCTCTGCTGCAGGCCGGCGGCCAGGGGAGCTGCTGCAGCATCGTGCACGTGGTGAGCTGCGAGGAAGAATTCCAGCAGCAGCAGCTGGATCTGCTCTGGAGGATTTTGGATCCAGGAGCCCACACAGCTTTGCAGGTGAGGAACCTCCGCCCCTCCTCACTGTGGCCCCAGCATCCTTGCGCTCAGCCAGCCTCCTTCAGTGCTGAGGCTCAGCCTTGCCCCCCTTGTGAGGCTTCCCTTTCCCTTGGCGGCCCCTCCACGCTCTTGCCCAGGCGGTGGAGCAGGCTCTCTGCCTTTGGGATTTCATAGAATCATAGAATCGTTAAGGTTGGAGAAGACCCTTAAGATCATCGAGTCCAACCGTTAACCTATCACTGCCAAGTCCACCAGTAAACCATGACCTCGAGCACCACGTCTACCCGTCTTTTAAATACCTCCAGGGATGGGGACTCAACCCCTTCCCTGGGCAGCCTGTGCCAGGGCCTGACATCACTTTGGTGAAGAAATTTTTCCTAATATCCAACCTAAACCTCCCCTGGTGTAACTAAGGAGGGGGCAGGAGAAGACTGCGGGGACACAGCTGGAACAGGGCTGGTTTTAGCCCAGTTCTCCTGCACTGCGTTTTGGTGGCGCTTCTGAGTCTTTGATCCCAGCCCTGGCCTCTCCTCTCTCTTTCAGAAATACCTTGTCTGTGGGCCAGTGAAGGTGACAAACCCCTCATCGCCCATCGGGGCAGACCAGTACTTCCAGTAAGTGGGTGTGTAGCAAAGCACCTGCTGTGCTGCTCGCCTGCCAAGGTTCCTGTGCTCTGCCTGGCCCCATAGGCAGCCACGCCACAGTGCTGAGCAAGCTGGTAGCGCACCGAGAGTTCTGCGCAGTCCCGCCATTCGGTTTTTCTGTGGCCTCAGGGCTGTTTTGAGAGGACTGGAGGTGCAGAACAGAAACCACAGGGCCCTCCCCAGGGGCCTCCCCCAGCCGTGCTCCTTCTGGCCATCTCAGTGCTGCCAGGGGGCTGCCAGGAGGAAAGGCAGCGGCAGGAGCTGGGCGCCGCAGCGGCGCAGGGTGGTATCTCCGTGCCTTCACGTGTGAGTGGATGGCCCTGGCGCAGGGGCGGCCCCTTTCTCAGCCAAAAGGCAGAGCTTGTGCCCAGTGCAGTGCCTTCCTCGTGGCACGAGGGGCTGGCCGCGGCATGGCTGTCCGGGCCCGGCTCCTGGAGGTTTTGTACCAGTTTTGCTTGGCCGGGTCGCCGCTGCAGCTGGGATGCCCCGTGCAGCCCGAAGGCTGGGGGAGGCCTGGGGTGCTCTCTGGGGCCAGCTCAGCCCAGGGGTGGTGGCTGTGAGCGTCTGTGTTCCTCCCAGGCTCCGAAAGCGCCAGATGTACGAAGCCTCCGTGATGAAGTACGGGGAGCTTGCGCAAGGTGAGGGTTTGCTTTCTGGCTCTACGCAGATGCTGCTTCATCCCTGTCTCTGCTGCTCCCAGGTCTGCAGCCCGCGGGGCTCTCCCCCACGGTGCTCCCTCTCCCCTCCGCGATGCAGCCAGGTGCTGACCTTGCTTGGGGGAAGGCGTCTAAACCGCTACGCGGGGGCTCCGGCTCAGAGCGGCAGATGCAGACGGGGGCCAGGGCTGGGGACGCGTGGTGGTCCCCAGCTTCCACCGGAGCCCCCTGCCTGGGCGCTGGGGGTGACGTTACACGGGCATGGAGCGAGCTGTGCGTGATGGCACCTGTGTTCTCCACAGATGAGGCCTGGACTGAGGTGATCGATACCCTCACGGTGGCTGCCATCAGGTTTGAGATGCTGAGCACTGCTCACCGGAGTCAGGTATTGTGGTTTGCGCAGAGCCGGGGCAGGCAAGCCGCGGGAAAGGCGGAGCGGCTCTGTGCTGAGCAGCCTGGACTGCGACTTCTCCTTGTCCTCAGATCACGCTGGACCTGGACAACAGCAGCATCTCCACGAAGGGAACCAAGAGCGGCGCCTTCGTGATGTACAACTGTGCCCGGCTGGCCACGCTCTTCGACACCTACCAGCGGGCTGTGGAGCGGGGTGAGCAGCAGCCCTCCTCCGACAGCCACTCCTGGGCTGTTCCTCATGCCTGGAGCCACAGGGACTTCTCCAGGCACAACAGCAGTCTCCCACCTCCTTTCCAGGCACGTACCCACCTCTGCCACCAGCATCAGAACTGAACTTCTCCTGCCTCCGGGAAGAGGTGAGTGCTGAGAAGGGGAATGTGGGGACCTGCACACCCTCGGCTCCAACGATGGCTGCTGCTGGCCCGGGAGGATTCGGCCCTCTCTGACACGTAATCCTTTCACAGGGCGAATGGCTCCTGCTGTTCAACTATCTCCTGCCCTTCCCTGAAGTCCTGCAGCAGGCAGCAGAGCTGCCTGCACCCACCAAGGGGATCCGGATCACAGCCAACACGGAGACAGTAAGTGCCACGTGCTGTAGCACCCATGGGTGCTCATCCTCCAACCGTCCCGGCCCAGGGCAAGGCTACGGGCTGGCAGGGTGCTGCCCACTGGTGAGCGACGCAGGGGCGGTGCCAAGGGAGAACACTGCAGGACCCCTGGGGCTCCTCCTGCTGTGCTCGGGGTGGGGAAGGGCTCAAAACCAGCCAGACCCTGCTGTGCCAGCAGAAGCTCTCTGTCTTGCAGGTGTGCAAGTTCCTGATCCAGCTCAGCATGGATTTCAGCTCCTACTACAACCGGGTCCACGTCCTGGGGGTAAGTCGGATGTCCCAGGCCTGCAGCAGCGGGGCAGCCGTGTGGGGAACGGGCTCCGGGGTGCCAGCAGTGTGATGCAGCCCCGCAAGGATGCGTGCACAGGGTGCCCCTAGGGCCAGCCCGTCGAGGGGCAATGTGGCCACCAACCCCAAGTCGCTGCCTTTCTCCCCACAGGAGCCGTTCCCTCACCTCTTTGACCAGATGTTTGCCCGCCTCCGGCTGCTGGGAGCGGTGAGGGATGTGTTCCACAGCGCCCTGGCAACTCTGCACCTCCCTCCTCTCAGCCAGATCTGAGCCACCGCCGAAGAGCTGCGCCACGGTGCGACAGGCGCCAGGACAATGCACCACGAGGGGAAGGACGGGGCGCGTCCTCCCTGGAGGGCGGTCAGGCAGGGAGCCTCAGCCCCGCACAGGTGCTTCCCCTCCTGCTGCCACATTTTGAGGGTTTGGCTACGCGCACCCCGTGGCTGTGCCCCGTGTGGGAGATGGGGGCGGTTTGCCATGTCCGCACCAGCAGACGGGAGGATGCCTGTGGCACCCTGCGAGCGGGGCTGGGGAGCACCGCGGGAGGCAGCACCGGGGACCAGGGCACCAGAAAGCCAGGCACCAACCTCGCTTCCCTCAAAACTGTTTATTGAAGGTGGCTCCATGCTGGCAGGGAGCTCCTGAGGCTCGAGGCCCCCGTCGGGCCCTGGGCCAGGCCCTGATACCAGGGTCCAATACACTTGTTGCTGGACCAATGCTGGGGCTACGTGCAGCCGTTTGTCCTTCCCTGTGCTCTGACTGTGCCTCAGCGTGAGGCGGCACTGAAGGGCTGTTCTGAGGGGCGCTGGCTGGGCGCAGGCTGGCACAGCACGCGTAGGCGGCCGCCCCTCACCCCGCAGGCTGCTGCTGTGGAGAACCCCACTCATTTCGGCACAGTCCCCAGCGCCGCAGGGGCAGGGCCGTCACACGGCCCCGTCCCAGGGAGCAGGAGGCTGCAGCCTGCCAGGTGCCACACCAGCGCCGGACTGGTCCCCTCAAGCTGCCAGGGCTGGGCACGGTGCTCAGCGCCCTCCCGAGCAGGTTCCCCTCTGGAACCAGGGCTGAAAAGCCCAGGCATGGGGGTCTCTCACACCTCAGGGAAGAGGAACTTTGCCTGGACAGGGCAGGACCCCGCTCCTCCTTTACTGCCTAGGGAGCTGCAGGCTTGTCCAGGAGGGGTCACGTCTGCCTTCTCCCCTGAGGCCGCCAGCCTTGAGCACCCCAGATGTGGCTATGCTGTCCCCGAAGGAGCCCAGCACACCTGTCCCCTCAAGAGGGGACACATCAGCACGCAGGCTGGGACAGGGCCTGCGGTGACGGGCAGAGCACAAGCGCAGGGTGCCCTCCCCAGGCATGCGGGGAGCAGGGTGGGAGCTCCCGTTACTGGGGAGCCTCCGGCGGAGGGGGCTCGGGGGGGGCCGTTCCGCGCAGCATCTCCAGGCCCTGCCCGCAGAGCACGCAGTAGTACCGCAGCTCCCCCCCAGCCTCCGCCGCCTCCCAGCAGTCCAGCTCGGCCAGGTCAGGCACGTGGAAGAAAGTGGTGCTGAGCGCATCCAGCCTGCCCGGGCCCCGCTGCCACAGCGTCAGGCGCTGGTCCACCGAGGCAGAGAGCAGCAGGTCCGGCCGCAGCACCCGGATCCCCGTCACGTGGGCGGCGTGGGCGCAGGGCCTGGCCACCCGCTGCAGGAGGCGCAGGGAGGGGCCCCCCGCCCGCCTGCCCCCCCCCCGGGGCCACCCCCCGCAGCAGGCAGAG